CCCGCGGCTGCTCCTTGTCGGCCTTGACGGCGAGGAAGGTGGCCAGGTCGAGGTCCAGCATGGTGACCCCTCCGCGCGGCGTGGGCGTGTTCTGGCGACACTGCGGGCACGGGATCCAGCGCTGCTCGTTGGTGACGGCGTCCAGGCGCTTCAGGCAGGCCTGGCAGAAGGTGTGGCCGCAGTAGAGGCGCCGCGGCAGCCGCACGCCCAGGTCGTAGGAGGAGTAGCAGATGATGCACTCGACGCGCTGGCTGCCCCGGCTCGGGGTGCGCGAGTGCGCCCCGACACTCGGCCCCAAATCCTCTGCCCGGGGACTGCCACCGGCCTGGGACATGCTGGGGAGGGGGTGAGAGGAGGTGTGAGCCATGGCTGGGGATGGGGCGCGGGGCTGGGGTGTCACCTCCGAGTGCACCCGACATGTGGGACGGATCCGTGTGGTGGGCTCCCAGGAGCAGCAGGATCCCCGCCCAACATCCCTGCCCGCTGCCTGCCTGCCCCGTGACCAGCCCTGCCTGGAAGAGCAGGATGCTGCCACTGCAGTGGGGTGTCCCTGCATCCATGGGGGATTCATTTGTCCCAGTGGCACACTGGGAGCTCTGCAGGAAACATGGGTTCGCCAGATCTCAGCAACGTGCTCAGGGGGTGGCCTGGGAGCGGGAAGGGCATGGGGTGAGCAGGAATGAGGTGGCTGGGTGAGCTGGGGAGCAGCACTTGGAGACCAGGCAGTGGCACAGCCCCACTCGTCCCCAGCCCCGGGCTGTGCTGGAACAGCTGTCGGCAGCAAGGGATGGGCACAAAGGCTCCTGGGGAGGGGTCTGACGGGGTCCAGCCCCATCTCAGTGGGATCTGGTACCCTCCAGTATATTTGCAAACTTCTCCTGAAGGCCACCAAGACTCTGTTCTCTCTCCTTAGGTGACCTCAAGTGTTTGGTGCACACGGGTACCCCTCTCCTCCCCTCCTCCCAATTCTCCATCCCTACCTGTCCTGAGATGCTTCCCAGGGCCTCAGGGCAGAAGGACTGTGCTGTCCCGGGGTCTGTGGCAGTCCTGTGGGGAGCATCGGGGGGCTGAGCTGCCAGCCAGGTCCCTGTGGCTGCCAGTGGCCGTGGTAGTGGGCAGGGGTTCACCTTTCAGGGACAGGTGCTATTGGATCTGTTGCAGGGAAGCCAAGCCCGGGAGATTGAGTTACAAGCACCTGGGCAACAAAGACCACTGAAATCTAAGCCCGGGAACGGTCATTAACCATCAGCCTGTGCTTCACTAACAGAAGGAACCATCCCTGTGAGGCCAAGGAGCTCTGGGCTCCTCCATGGGCAGAGGGCTTGGATGTCATCTGGACCTGGGCAGCAGCAGCAGAGTCTTCCACATCCTGGGCCACCCTTCACAGCCAAGAAGATTCGAGCAGATGTCAGCCAGCGGAGACCCCGTGGCACTCCAGCCCACGCATCCCAGGTGGTCTGGGCTGTGGGGACAGCTGTGACAGGAGCGGGAGGGCAGGCGGGGTGGCAGGGCTGGGACTGGTGCAGGGACACCGGGGCTCTGGCCTGGTGCAGGATGGCTGTGCCCATGTGTGGGGTGGTGCTCCCACCTGGAGCCTGGGGGTGATGTGTCTGTGACTTGCCCCCGCCCTTCCCTGTGGGGCTGCAGGCTCTGCTGTTGGAGGCTGAGTTACCAATGCTCAGCATCAGGCTGGGGATACCCCAGCACTCCACAGGGACACCTGCAAGGTGCATGACCCAGGGGAGGTGACAACGCCAGAGAAGTGCCAGACTCTGTTCCCACAGCTGCCCTTGGTCCAGCAGCAATGTCCCAGCCTTGGCATGGAGGGTGCTACAGACTGAAGAGGGGAGCGTGGCAGGGGAACAGATCCTGAGCCAGGATCCTGGAGGAGAGAAAGCCATCCTGGAGGCAGGGCAGGATGGCCAGAACAGCCGGCAGCATTCCGATGTGGAGCAGGAGCACGGAGCAGCTCCCACTGCAGGCAGGAGCAGGCAGGGAAGCAGGCAGTGCTCTCCCATGCTGCCTCCTCACCAGCAGCCCTCAGGTCATGTTTCCAGCACCCCTTGGAGAAAGAATTGGGAGTTTTGGAAATGAAGATCCCCACAGGGTCACTGGGCTCTGCAGAAGGGCTCACCCCATGACACTGGTGTCTGTGAGTGAGGAAGCACCTCCAGCAGCACAGCACCTCTGGGGCACATATCCTGACCCAGGATCCTGGTCCAGCCCTGCCACGTGCTTCCTGAGGCAGTGCACATAGGCTGTGTGTGTGCCCCCGGGTCCCCAGGCACAGGAGTGGCACCCTATGGCAGGGTTTTGCCCTCCCATTACCAGGCTGGTGGCAAGCACAGGCCAGTGGGGCCAGTTTGGGACAGGGCTGTTCCAGGGACATTGGTTTTGGTGAAACCCATTGGCCCAGGTGAAGCAAGGGCCGTGTGCCCTGGGCAGATCAGGATCCAGCTGTGTGGGATTCCAGCTGTGCCCTGGCATGCTGGGGTACCTCTGTTCCTGCCTGTGCTAGGGTGCAGCCCCTGGGTGCTGGCAGCCAGGACAGAGCTGGCTCCTGGCTGGCTCAGTGGGCTCCCTCCAGGGCCATGTGCCCAGGGCCGTGCAGGCACCTGGGGCTGGGGCTGTCCCAAAGCTCCCAGGCTGTCCTTCTTCCACCCAACACATGGTGCTGGCCTGGCTCACCTGCCTCAGGGACAGGAATAACGAAGTCCCATAGGGAGCTCTGCCAAAAATCTTATATGGGTGGGAGGAGTGGGCTTGGCTCTGTGCACAGCTGGGGGTACTCCAGGCACTGCTCAGAGGCAGTGACCCCTCTGGCTGCTCTCCTGCTCCACACACACACACACACACACACACATACACATACTGCCTGCCCTCCTGCCCCACTCCAGCCCCTGCCCAGCCCCTGCCCATCAGCCCTCATGTCCCTCCCTGATGCCAGCAGAGCTGTGTCTCATTGAGGGGCTTGCCCAGCTGCCCTTGGCCACTTCTGCCCATTGCTGGGCACCCCAGCTCAGCACAGGTAGGGCTTGGGGCAGGGGAGCCCTTGGTGACAGGGGCTGTGCCTCTGCCATGCTGACACCAGGGGCACCATGACCCCTGCCAAAAGCCCACCTGGATCCAGCAACAGGGAATCATAGAACTGTTAAGGCTGGAAAATATCTTTAAAATCATCGAGTCCAATGTCAGCCCAGCACCACCACCACATTCACCACTAACCCATGTCCCCAAGTGTCACATCCACACATTTTTTTAACACTTCCAGGGACGGTGACTCCACCACAGCCCTGGGCAGCCTGTGCCAGGGCTTTATAACCCTTTCAGTGAAAAGTCTTTTACTAATATCCAACCTACCCCCTGGCACAACCTGAGGCAGTTTCCTCTTGTCCTGTCACCTGTTACTTGAGAAAAGAGACCAACTTTCACCTCATTACAGCTCCTTTCAGGAAGTAGTGCGGAGCAATAAGGTCTCCTCTCAGCAAAGGCAGATCTGTAATCAGCAGCGACACACATGGATGGGAAACGTGTTTTCCCGTTCCCAGGATTCATCCCCGGACCTTTGGCACCGCGGCGTAGGGAGCGGCACTCTCATGGAGAGCAAAGGTCTGCTCGGGATGAGCCAGAGCCCTGCACTGCCAGGCACGCTCCAGAGGGAGGAGGTGGCAGTCACCCAGCACAGCACAACCCTCTGCACCCCCGGGCACCTTGGGAAGGTCAACACAGCGGGGGAGCACCCATGGGACTCTGTACGCACTGCCCGGGGCATCAGAGCCCTGGCGAGGTCTGGGGCCGCAGCCTGCACCCTCCCCTGCTCACCCCCCCTATCCTGCGGCTCCAGTTTAATCATTGCCCGGCTGTCTGGCAGGCAGTGCCGGCCGCTCCCGCCGTGTTTGCCATGGCCTCGGGGCTGGGCAGAGCGAGGGGCAGCGGTGACACACGGCAGATGCGGCGCCTGCCCTGCCCGAGGCCCCGGCCCCCTGCTCGTACCGGCCCTGGGCTGTGCCCGAGGCACCGCACACCCTTGGGGCCAGCTTTCCGTCCCCAGGCCGAGAGTGTCCCCAGACAGTGTCCCCGGAGAGCCCCGGGGCACCCCCGCCCTGCGGGCTCCGGTGGTGACGTGTCCGTCCCCTGCCCCGCCGCAGAGCACAGGGCAGGGCTGGCGGCGGGGACACCAAAGCAAACAAGGGGTGGATCTGCCCGTCCCCACTGCGCGGTCTGGGCGGGGAGAACAAGAGAGCTCCTTGTGCACGGCGGACACCGCGAGGTTGTGTCCCTGCCAGGCTCCCCTGTGAGCCGCACACCCCCGGCCACCCACGGCCCTGGGAACTGGACGGGGGGGCCAAACTGACAGGGCCAAACCTCTGCCAAGCCACAGCCACCCCAGCCCAGAATATCCCCGCAAGGGGGGGTGGGATTTCAAGAGTGATGGGGTTCCAGGCAGTGGTGGGCTTCCAGGACTTGTGGACTCCCAGTGGGATCTGTGGGGTGGCATCCAAGCAATGCTGGGCACCCAGTGCTTGTGGGGCCTCAGTGCAGGAGGGCTCCAAGCAGTGGCAAATTCCAAACCAAGTGGGCTCCCATTGCTGATGGACTCCCGGGGGGTCACAGCCAGACTGGGCAGTGCCCCAGAGCCCACCCAGCTGGCCCAGCCAGGAACTTCCTCAGCCTCTCCCAAAGACTCACGAAGTCTTTCCAGACAGGACAGTCATCCAGCTTGGCAGAGCTGGGCTGAGCACCAGCCAGTGTTCCCAGACAGGCAGGAGCAGCCTGTACTGGGAACGCCTGGGCACTGTTGGACCCAGGCTGGCAGCAGGGCACCAGGCAGCAGCCAAAGAGCTCAGCGTGAGCTGCTGCTGCCATGAGTCAGCAGAGCAACAGTTAAGCCTGCTTTGGAGGCTTTAGCTCTGCCCTTACACACCTACCAGGAAAAGCAAGAAGTGACACGGGAATCCCAGAAAAGCCTGGGTGAAGGGAATAGGCACACACCTTAGCAGGGCAGGAGAGGACTGTAATTTTATTTGCAGCACCCTGAAGTCATCTGCAAACACAGGCACCCCTCCCAAGCCCCAGCTCCCGCAGAGCAGGCAGTTCTGCAGCAGGCACGGAGCAGCTGTCGCCTGGCAGAGCAGCTGTCCCTGGGACGCCAGCACCAGGGAGGGCTGCCAGCACCACGGAGGGACGTCAACACCACGGCGGGACATCAGCACAACAGCGGGCTTGTTCCAGGTCGATGGCAGCAGCCCCAGCCGACAGCCCAGCCTGGAGGCGCCCCTGCAGACTGGGAAGAGCCAGCAGGCTCCTCCCGCCATCCTCCAAGCCCAGGGAGCTGCAGAAGGTGAATGCTGGGCCTCTGCATCCCCAGCAAGGTGCCCAAGTGCTGCTTTACTGCTGGAGCTGGGCCAGCCCTCTGCACTGGACCCATCTCTGGGTTGCATATGGGATATGACGTTGTGCCCAGCACCCCACAAGCCTGACAGGAGGAACAGAATGGGGCTGGGGGTTTCCTGGCACTGGCATGTCAATGCTCACATCCATGCTGTGACATCAGGCGCTGCCCTGGAGCATGGCCCAGCACTCAGCCATGCTTTGGCTGTCTGTCTTTCCTGTCTCCATCCCTCTATCCCATGGGCAGTATGGTGAGGAGGAGCAGGACCAAAATGGAGTTTGGTGCAGGGTGCCAGCAGCATCCCCGTGATGCTGTGGGAGGGGGGACGACTCACTTCTGGGGAGGTGGGATCCTGTGCCAGCTGGAGGATCCTGGTTCCTCTCCACTGCCATGGATGATGATGTCCTCCTCTGCCATGCACACAGGGCTGCCAGCATCCAAACCTACCCATGAGCAGGTGGCACTGCCCACACCTTCCCAGGGTGAGGTTTCCCAGCACGGGGAGACTGGCAAGGGCTCTGTGCAGGATTTGAGGCTCATGGTGCTGCCCTGTCTCCCGTGTAGTCACTTCATGGTCACATCTGTCCTGGCACACATCATCCTCAGGGCTCCCGGGCACCATGGCCCAGCTGGCAGGTGCCCATCACCAGCACATCTTGCTGCAGAGTTCACAGGTAAAAAAGCAATGTCAGTCCAGCCAGTGCCAGCTCTGCCAGGTGCCAGGGCAGCTTCCTGGCGTACCTAGGCCAGCAGCCATGTCCCTGTGAGGTCACTTGGCCCCATCCCATTGCCAGCACATCCCGTGTGTGCAGGGAGGGCCCTTAGGAGATGACACAGCAGCACTTTGGGCACCAGGAGCAGCACCTGCAGCAGCCACATCGCCTGTCAGCCCCCTGCTCCTGGCCCTTGGGTGGCTTGTCCAGGGTCACAGTGTAGAAGGAGGCAGATGAGTCCCCATTGGGCATCCTCAGGCTGGCGTAGGGGTTGTAGGGACGAGACCAGGACTTGTCCGTGGAGATGGTTGGGCTGCTCCAGCCATTAGCAAAGTCTGTGTGGTCCTCTGTGCCATAGGAGGGCACGGCTGTGGGGTTGGTGATGATGGTGGGCTCATCCCTCAGGTAGCGAGTGATGAAGCTTTGCTGGAACTGTTCCCGTGGGATGTTGACACTGGCATAGGGGTTCTCCACAGTGACTCCACGATCCATCTCACTGCCCCTGGTCAGCACATGTGGCCTGTCTGGCTTTGCCCACACTCTGCGGGACAGAGCCGATGTTACTGCAGGCTGTGGGGGGTGTCAGTGCTGGGGCTTTTCTCACAGCAACAACACCCGGCATACTCCACTGGTTTGGGTGCAGGGTGCAGAGCTGTGCCCCCCACTCCCTACCCAAGGGACCCCCACAAGGTACACATGGACCCACCGGAGCCAGGAGGGGAGGAAGGAGCTGGGGCGCCGGGGGTGAGCAGGGCACTGGGGGGACAGGAAGGGGCGCTGAGTGGGACACAGAGTGCTGGTAGGGTAGTGGGGTGGTATAGGGATTTCTAGGGGGACATAGAGCAGGAGGGAAAGAAGTGGGGAGAGTTGCGGGAGGAAAGGGGGTGCAGGGGAGTGGAGAGGCAGAGGGAAGATGGGATAGGGGAAGGGCAGCTGGGAGAGGGATTGAGGACGGGGCAGGCGGTGGGAGATGGGGAATCGGGGCGGGGGGCGCAGAGGAAGAAGCGGGGCAGGCAGGGGAAGGGGCGTAGGGGGCAGCAGGCAGGACACGGGCAGGGTAGGGGCAGCGATCCTCCCGGTACTCACCGAGCGCGGCTCCGGCCGCTGCGGGGCCGCTCTGCCCCGGCTGCGCTTCCTCCTGTATGGACCGCCCCGAGCGGCGCCGCCCCGAGCGACCGACAGACAGACGGCACCGACCGACACACAGACAGACCGGCCCCGAGAGACCGGGGCAAGAACATCCCACACCCAGCAGCCACCCACCGGCCAGCCCCAGCGCCAGCCGAGCAGCCCAGCCCACTGGACATTGCCCCAAGGCACCAATACCAGGCACTGGACAACGGGCACTTGGCACTGGGCGCTTGGCAGTGGGCAGGGACACTGATCAGGAGGCACTGGGACCAGAACCGGACAGGGACACTTGGCACTGGATAGGGGAAGGGGGCAATGGGAGGTGGGCACTGGACAGAGGCATTGGGCACCAGGCAAGGCCACAAGCACCGAGGCACCAGACCAGCACCAGCCACTGGTACCAGGAACTGGGCACCAGCAGTGGATACCAGCATCAGCATGGGCCCTGACACCTGGTACACAGTGAACACCACGCAGTAGGCAGTGCCACCATGCACTGTCACCACCGAGGACTGGGCACTGACACCAGTACAGCCACCAGCACCATCCACAGGCACCAGCACTGTGTGCCATGCACTGGGCACTGCACTCTGGACACTGGCACCAGCAGTGGCATCACACTGGTTCTGGGCAGCAGGCAGGGACTGGAAGGGGAGCACTGCACTCCACAGCACACCCTGTGCACCAGGTGCTGGGCAGAGGGCACCGAGCACCATGCACATGTCCTGAGTGCTGGGCGGGGGATACCAGGACACCAGGGCATACCAGGTCTGCATCCTCTGGCAGCCCCAGGCCCTCCTGCCGGGCTCTGCCTGCCCCTATGGGCACCCAGGGGTGCAGCCCAGGGTCCCACACCCCCTGCTTGGCTGTGTTTGACCTTGAGACCCCAGTGTCAGGGCTCTGCTGGGGTCCTCATCCCTGCAGCACAGCCTGGCTGTGGTGTGCCCTTGTGCCCCACAACAGGACCTTTTCCAGGGTGGATTTGGGGGGTATCCAAGGCACCACTGGATAGTGACACACGTGAGGCTGGATGGAGTGAGGATGTGGCTGTGTCAGGGCGAGGAGGGGGGTGCTGGCACTGGTGCCAGTCCCTGGCGCCAGAAGTGCTGCAGTAGAAAAGACATAAACATTCAGCACCCTCCACTCTACTCCATCCATAGCCCTGCCATGTGACCCTGCTGGGATGTCCTCAGCCACTGTCACTCTTCCCATCCCCAAGGCCCCCAAAGTGGCTTGTGCAGAGCCCCAACACCTTCCCACAAGCAGTTCCATGAAGAACCTGTCCCTTCCCTGAGCCTCCGGGATGATGGGACAGCATCCTCCTGGACAGGTTGGGGACAAATACCTCAAATTGCAGCTGAATCCTCCTGGGACTGAATTACATTTCCCACACACTTTAAAAAAGGAAAAGCCACTTCCTTCTGGCCATCCTTCTGACAACAGAAAATATTTCTCACCTGTCCTGAGAAGCAGAGGCTGCCCAGGCCAGCCCCTTGGCACTCATGGAACAAGCAGGAGAGCTCCAGGGAGCGATGGGAGCCTGCCTGTCCCTGCCAGCACTGCCCCTGGGATGAAGCTGCCAGCACCTGCTGCAAATCCCCAGCTCCCCTGCCTTTTCTCTGTGTCTGATCCTTCTGTCCCCAAGCCTGCTGGCTGGCAGCTCCCAGGGTGTAGGTTCCCTGCAAGGAGACCCAGCAACCTTCCAGATAGTGGAGGGAAAGGAAGAGGGAGTCCTGAGATTTTTTGGAGGAGAAGTTGACCCTCCTCTGACCAGCTCTAGCATCGAGAGAGGGGCCTCATGCACTTCTGTGCCTCAGTTTCCCTCCGAGGACTGAGAGTGGGGGTGCAGCAGAGCATGTGTTGTGACAAATCAGCATCACAGCACACAGCTCTCGGGTCTGAAAGCTGCAGAACTCCTGCACAGACCCCTCAGGGCTTTTCTGCCACCGCAGGGTCACCTGGACGAGAGCCATCAGCAGGCCCTGTCCCTTCAGTGGGCCTCGCTGCTGCCCAGTTTTCCCATATTGAGCTGTTCCCCAGAGGAAAACTCATCTATTTGCCTAAGCAGGAACAGAAAAAGGGGCATCCTCCGCCGAGGTGCCCTGCGGTAACCCCAGCCCTGCCTGTCCGTGTCTGGCGTGTCCCGGCCTGCGCAGGGGATGTCGCTGTGGCTCTCTCCAGCAGCACTCTCCCCTTCCTGGCAGAGCCTCAGGAGTGCTGGGTTTGTCTGTTAGCCCCGGTCTCCATGAGCAGCCCTGCTCCTGAGTAGCTCTCCTTGCAGGGAGCTGGCAGGCTGCACGTCAGGCACAGCCCGGGTCTGGGGGACCCTGAGACCCTGCGACCTCCGTGTCGTGAGCTCCTTCCCTCTCCCAAAGGGGCTCCCAATGCAGGGCACCTCATAGAATCTCGGGCATTTTCGGGTGGGGACATCCCACACGCTGCTGCCCGGGGCGGCAGAGCCCACCCAGCCGCTCAGAGCCGAGTGCCAGCCGGGATCTGGGGTGCCTCCATGCTGAGGATGTGTCTCAGCTCTCCCAGCATCCAGTCGTGGCAGCTCCCATCTCGCAGGCACCTCCTGGTTACTCGTTCCCTGCATGGCAGATCTGTGGCAGCCCCAGATGAGGAGCAGCAACCCCTAATCTGGAGCCTGAAATGCCAAGAAATTCTCCAAATCTAGCTCCAAGGGCCACGTCCAGAAATTGTGTGTTGACTCTTGAAGGGTTTATAGACGATGGAGGATCCTCAGGTGGAAAAGTTTCTCAAGCTGTTGCTCTGGAGTTGTCCTATGTGGGATTCCCCAGGCTGGGAGCTGGCAGGTGCTGCAGAGCTGTGCCCCCCTTGAGTAAATGGAGGAGCTGAACTAATGAGAGGCTTTTCGTGGCTTAAAACCAGCCTAATTTCCTGCAATTGTTTGCAGAGGGAAAAGAAATAAACAGAAAAGAACAACCAAGTTCAATGCCCATCCTGGAGATGTCCTGTGCTGGGGAGTGATGGAGGGGGAGGTTCTCAGAGATGCCACACTACTTCTAGAGGAATAGTGGTTTGAGGAGGAACCTGGGAAAACCAGAAGAAGGAGGAAAACAGCCAGCCTTTGCGGGTTTGTTTTATTTTGATTTGTTTTTGACTGGCTCGTGATCTTGCTGGAAGCTTGAAAATGAGGGGGCAGCCCCATGGAGGGGGCAGCGCTCCCAGAATGGGCCGCAGAGGCAGGAGCATCCCCAGCCGTGGGACACCAGCCAGGAGGAAAGCGCAGCCTCAGGAACTCCTCAGTCCCAGTCCATGAGTTCTGGTCTCCTCCCAGCCATACCAGGACAGGGCACCCACAACCTGTGACCCAGCATGAGCTGTTGGAAGATTTTGTAGGATAAAATAACTGTAGGGATCCCCTGGGATGCCTCAGCTCACCGATGCTTCACACACAGCAAAAGGCACATTTGTTTTCTTTTTAAAAACAAACAAACAAACAAACAAACAAACAAACAAACAAACAAAACCCCCAAAACCAAAAAAACCAACCAATCAAAAAAAAACCAAAAATCCAGAAAGCCACAGGCTCGTCCTGTCCCTGGGCCTCTTTCTGCTGGGGACAGGTATTTGCATGGCATCCCAGCGGTGGAGCTTTCCCAGTTCCAGCTCCTCCCAGGGCTCTCCCAGGCACCAGGAATAAAGAGCTCCTGAAGCGATCCCGTTTGTGAGCATTTCCCTGTGCGGTGCAGTGCCTGGCGCGGGCACACGAGGGTGGTGATGCTCTTTGCAGCCCGTCAGTGCCGGCGGATGATGAAGGGGACGCTTCCCAGAGTGAAAGGTTTTACACCCGCGGAGGGGGCAGCGTACCAAACCTTGCGGGGGCTGAAGGCTTGGCTGAAGCTCAGGAGAGCCCGGGGGTGGCCGGTGTGAAGGAAGGACACGGGGAGGGGTTGGGCCAGTGCGGGGATGGGAGGGCAACCCCCAAATTCAGGCTGTGTGAAACATGTGGGATGATTCCCTTCGGGACACCGCAAGTCTCCCACCGTGGAGCACAGATGTGCAGGTTTCCTTCAAGGCTTTACCTGAATTCTCAGCTGCCTCCTCATTAAAATCAGAGTGAGGCTAGAGGATATGGAAGGAGAGATCACAGGGAGTGGGAGGTACCAGTGGGGTGAACATCCCATAAGGGGAGCCCCATGGATCAGTGTCACCAGCACCAGGACTCAGCTGTCACCCAGTGAGGGGCGGCTGTGGGTATGAGGGTGCCGTGGAGGGGACCTCAGTGGTGCAGATCTGAGGGGCAATACAGGGAGCACAGAGCAGGACCCAGAGACAAAGCTGCTAAATACAGGAGGCTTGGGGGCTCATAGAAGCTGCAGGATTTGGTGCTCTGTATCCTTGAGCAGCACAGCCTCTCACAGCCTAACACCCCGGGGTGGGAAACTTCATCTCAAAATCCAGCCTGTGTCCCCAGGCCTGTGCTCGGCATCCCACGTGCAAAGACCCTGCTTTGCTTGTCTCCACGTCTGCCCAGGGCATGCAAGGACTTTCCACAGCTCTTGGTTCCCTCTCAGGGAAAGTAATGTGTCCCAAAGGATGGCAGCAGCTTTTAAAGCCCAAACGGAGCCTGGAATTGACCTGCCTAAGCTGCTGGGTGGGAGGGATTTCCTGTGGGGCCATAATGTGTCCCGTCCCTCGGGTCAGCACCTGGTTGCCCACGCTGGGCTGTCCTGGCCCCAGCACCCATCCTCCAGCAGGCCAGGTCCTGCAGTCCGTGCCGCCTCCGAGCACTCAGCTCTGTGTGGAGGGGCAGCACAGGCTCCTCTGCCGAGGCTCCCGAGCCCGGCTGCTCACCCTGCGGCACAGCACGGCCCCGAAAGGGCTGGCAGCTCCTCGCATGCCACAGCGTCCCTTGCCGGCGCCATCCTGCTCACACTGCGCTCTCCCGATGTGACATCCCGGCCGCCCTGCAGGCTCACGGTGGGGACAGGGATGCACAGCTGGGACA